TTGTTATTGAGATGTAGGCATGTAGCACTCCTATGCAAACTTCAGATAAATGGTCTAGTTTTTCATTGCAAAGCTTCAAATTTCGTGACCTTTTCATTTTTGCTTACATGATGTGTCATCCAGGAAAGTGATATCAAGTGGGCATCACGCTGGGACACCTACCTTAGCACAACTGATGGTGGTTTCCCATTGTGAATTCTCTGACCATGGTCCTCTTCCTCTCTGTAATGGTTGCCATGATCATGCTCCGGACTCTGTACCGTGATATTTCCAAGTACAACCAGCTAGAGAGCCAGGAGGAAGCCCAAGAGGAGTCTGGGTGGAAGCTTCTCCACGGTGATGTGTTCAGGCCTCCTGTCAATGTTGATCTGCTGTGCGTGTATGTGGGTACAGGTGTACAGTCCTGGGGCTCCTGTCACCTTCAAATCGTGGAGGGTTCATGACGGCCATGCTCCTGCTCTGGGTCTTCATGGGCCCGTTTGTAGGGTACTCCTCTGCACGTTTTTACAAGATGTTCGGGGGGATGGAATGGAAGAAGGTTGCCATCAGGACGGTCTTGGTATTCCCTGGAGTTGTCTTCCTAATATTCTTTGCCCTGAACATGCTTCTCTGGGGCGTGAAATCATCCGGTGCTGTACCATTCACCACCATGTTCGCACTGGTTTTCCTGTGGTTTGGAATCTCTATGCCACTGATCTTCATCGGCAGCTACCTTGGGTTTAAGAAGCCTTACATAGAGGACCCAGTGAGGACAAACAAGATACCACGCCCGATACCGCAGCACAGCCATGGTATATGAACCCAGCCGTCTCCTCGATGTTGATCGGAGGTATCCTACCCTTCGGTGCTGTGTTCATGGAGCTCTTATTCATCCTGACAATAATCTGGATGCACCAGTTCTACTACATCTTTGGGTTCCTGTTCCTCGTCTTCGTGATCCTAATAGTGACCTGCGCTGAGATCACCATTGTGCTTTGCTATTTCCAGCTGTGTAGCGAGGACTACCAGTGGTGGTGGAGATCCTACCTGACGCCCGGCTCGTCAGCTCTGTACCTCTTCCTGTATGCAACATTCTATTTCTTCACGGAGATGCAGATCACGAAGGCAGCCTCCGGTGTGCTCTACTTGGGCTACATGCTCATTGCCTCCCTACGCCTTCTTTGTGCTCACGGCACCATTGGCTTTTTACGCCTGCTTCTGGTTCACCAGGCTTATATACTCTTCGGTGAAGATTGACTAGGAAGCTAGAATGGCATCACTTCATGGTCGGCATGAGAAATCAGAGGTCAAAGTTGTGAAAGAATACATGAAAATGTAGCATGGCTTATACACAGAAGTAAGGTATAGGATATCTATTGGTCTATAATTCAGTTACATTTTTTGTGTCAGTGACTTGAGGTATGTGTGCGCATTATTATCGCACAGCTTACAGAATTGAGATGGTACTTCAGCTCCAGGAATTGAACATATGTTTCTTTAGCTGAAATGCTGACCATCTCGTGTTGTACTCCTCTCGTTGATACAAAATATAAGTCAGACATTTAGGCATGGGCATTGCCACGGTGTAAAAGATAATACTTTGACTATATTTTCTATGAGGAAATAATATTTCAATTAAAAGACTGTATGCCATTGTAATATTTTCCATCATAAATCTAGTAAAAATTATCTATGGTGCCATTGTATGTATTGTGTACAGTAATAATTAGTTGATGGTGGAAGAACTTATTGTAATCTTAAAATAGCTTCTATTTTGGGTCGGATGGAGCAGGCGTGCATGGACATGTATTTGTTCAAAACTCGAAATTAAAAAAAAACTGTGACCAGGAACTAACCGGTTATTTCATTAATAAGAAAATAGACACTCAATTTCGAGCTGAAGAGGAATCTAATTTAGGTGATTGGGTGCATGTGCATGACTACACATCCAACTCCACCAGTTGAGCTAGGCTCATTTTTTGAAACCTCTTGAAAACTTGGAACTGCAGGAACTGCGACCTTCTTCACACATTCCAAAAGATTGGTACCCAATTTGAGTGGCAGTTTGTATTGACACTCCAGTACAATTAATTCTGGTGAAGAACGTTGACACTTAATAACGAAGAAGTGATGTCCTCTCTCTTCAAACACCCCACCCCTACCCACCCATCCAAACAATTCTGATCTCCAACATAAGTATGCATTGTATTGCACCCGTTCGAGATTGCAGTCTATGTACTTCCAGATTATCTAAAAGTTCGTATGTATTTACATTGATAAAAAAAAGACTATGTTAAGATCATTGTTTAAATTAGCGCATTATGGTGGTGTTATAGCCGGCTGGAGAGAGCAGCCACAACGATATTGTACATATTTGTGGTCTCATGTCTCACTGATAAAACGGTGATCACTCTCCTCCCATGAGGCATCGTCATGATACTTCTTCCCCCTCTGATTGGGGACCCTCAAGTGAATTTCCGGATGGGTAGAACCGCAATGATACTGTTTTACGTGAAAAATTCAGTGGAGACTATCCTTATGGAGCAGCCGTAGGTGAGTACCTGTCGTGAACTGAGGACATGTGTCTATGCACAGCCATTTTTTTTCGAAAGCTTTTGTCGGATTTTTATTAGACGAGGTAAAAAGAAAATAGGGGAGGGTTTACAGGGTTACACAAACGAGCCTAAGCTCGACACTACTAAGCTGAACCACTACTAAGACAGCACTGTCTAGGCTACCACTAAAAGAAGAAGACGAAACAACAAAGACACCATTTTGGTCTGTTCACTTTGCTCAGTATCGATCGTGGATTATGTTTGGAATAATATTTTTCTCTCGCACCAAACTAGCCAGCAGTAAATAATCCACGATCGTTTATGGCCTGCCGAACAGGCCGAAGAACAGAAGTACAAAGAGGGCGTAAGCTCTACTAATTAGCTGCAACATTTGGACTTGTGGCTAACTGAAATTGATCGAACTCCTCCTTTATGCACAGCCATTCAATGTATTCTTTCCAAACTACTCCAAAATTTACGTAGCAAGTATCTATGCGTTGATGATTGTGTATAGAGGCGTATCGTAAATCTACGATATATGCTCATGACTGTTCCACGAAAACTGTCTCCACTATCCACTAAATATTTGTTTTGGTTTTACGGACACCGTTTCCCTTGTTGAAGGCATGATCCTGAGCTAGCTGGTCTTGTGCGGTGTTATGACGGGGCACGGTCTCGCGCAACCAAGGTGGATTTCCAAGCAAAGAGCTGTGTTCCTGATGTCGAGAAGTACAGTTTTCAAGACCTGCTGACTTCTTTGATACTGCTACTAGTAGATCCCCGTCGAAAACAACTTTGGCCCTGCTTGTCTTGTAATCCGTATTTTTTGATTTGTCTTTTTATTCAGAATAATATTTTTCTCTCACGATAAAATCAGCTAGAACAGTATTTCGGTTTGTTTTTTCAGCGAAGTGAACGGAGCCTTCATGACAAGGACGATCCCATTACAATCCGAAGATTTCCCTGAATCACGAGCCTGCACAGCACCGCTAACACGTTCTGAACATATTATAAATAAAAAAGAAAAAGTGCACACGACAGTGGGTCACTCTCACTCGGAACGAAAGAGACAAAATTGTAGTGCTCCGTCTCCAACTCTCCACATGTCTGCGCTCGTCCGTAGTGGTGTGTGCACACCTGTTCTTGGGGTTGGGCAGACGCTGAACCCGCGACACGTCCGCATCTCCACTGAGGCCACTCGGGCTCCAAAAATGCTGCATTCATGTCTGTTCGGACTTCGGAGCATGCAGTCCTCGCACTCCACAAACATCGTCAACAAAAATCAGGCAGAGGCCACCAGGCCGGTACACACGCAACGACAAAAATTTATTTATCATACAGATTAGCATGAGAGTCAAATGACCTTGGTATTCCTATTTATTGAGTATGTATCTTCTATAGAAAAGATTAGTAGTCATGTGTATCAGTAAATTATGCATGCATTTCGAAAAAAGAGAGTAAATTATGCATACAACTATAATTAAATAGCTTCCATGCCGTCGACATAAGGATTGAACAAATAGAAAAAAATGCACGGTTGATTTGATATTCGTGAAACTTACTGGATAGGATACAATGAGAAATTTCAGTACTAATGAATCTAAACATACTCTTATAATAATAAGTGTTTTGTATCTAGTCATTTCAAGGGCACGTGACCTCTGTTTAGCAAACGACAAACAACTTGAGCTTAGATCACAGTTACAACAACAACAACAACTTGAGCTTAGATCACGGAAATCGCAATTCAAGCTCGATAGGAGCTGAGCTCGAGCCTGAACCCTAGGCTCTCGAGCCCCGACAATCCAAGCTCAAAAGTCGCTCGTTAAAGCTCATTTTAGTTCTATGTATCTCTTATCAGCCTGCTGCTGCAAAATACGGTAAACCAAAGTACAAAAAAGTAGTGTACAAACAGCCTAGAAAGAAGTGCAGCCAAGCAGGGCTTATATTTTTTTAAAAAAATCTGTAATAAATATTTTTGTTAGTATGTTATAAATTGATTAATACAATTGATGCATGTAAAAGATACTTTGTTTTATAATCAATTAATTTACAAGATTGTTTCATTATTTTATTATTTATTACCTTGTGAAATAAATGACGCTTACCTTCTCAAGCAAAGCTGTACCAGCAAGCTAAAATTTGACCAAAATGATACATTAGAATATTAATATTTATATTATTAAATAAGTATAATTAGATTCGTCCCGCAACATAGTTTTGTAGTACACTTATTTATAAGTATTATCACTCTAGATTTCATGTATTGTTTTCATTTTAAAATGTGACGCTCTAAACTCTCACTAACACGCAAGCTGCACGGTGTAATGTTACGGCTGTGTACCGTTGTACCCTAAACCACCGTAATTAACACGGGCCTCATCCGGCGTCGTGATTCGCGCACCACGGCGGGCCCCACATCCCACCTGACATCCTGACCCGACCCGACCCTCCGGAATCGGCGATTCGGTTCGGTGGGCCACGAGGCGAAACACGCACCCGGCGTACCGCGAGGGGTTCCGGGCCCACCTGACAGCCTCCCGCCTAAACCCCGTCGCCGCGCCGCCCCGGGCCGGGAGGCTGGGGGAGACCCGTCAAATCCAAGCAAAGGCCACCCCGAGGACGGCCGGCGACGACTTCCCCTTCCAACACCCTCCTCCTCCTGCGTCCCTCCTCTCTCCTTCCCCGCGCGCCCTGATCCCAGCCATTCATCCATGGCGACGAACAGCGCGGTGATGGTGCTCCTCCTCCTCGCTGCCGCCGTACTCGCCTGCGCGGGCGGCGCGCGCGGGTTCTACCTCCCCGGCGTCGCCCCGCCGATTTCCGAAAGGTCTCTCCTCCTTTGTTCTTCTTCTTCCTCTGTGTTTCGATTTTGTGTTTTTGCTAGCTGGGTTGGTTTGTTGATCTCGGTGAGTCCTCTCCTCACGCTCTGAGCCTGTGTGGATTGCAGAAGGACCCGCTCGCCGTGAAGGTGAACCAGCTGAGCTCCATCAAGACGCAGCTGCCCTACTCCTACTACTCCCTCCCCTTCTGCAAGCCGGGCACCATCGTCGACAGCGCCGAGAATCTCGGCGAGGTGCTCCGCGGCGACCGCATCGAGAATTCACTCTACGTGGTAAGCCTGTGCCGCACTAGTATTAGTGCTCCACTGTTCACCTGTGTTTGTCAGTACTTAGCGGTCGTTCTGGGAGAGTCTGAGCAAAAGGTCACTCGTGTATTTTTGCTATAATTAGCTCGGTGCTCTTATGAAATTTCAATCGTCCTTGAAATGCAGTTCGAGATGATGGAGCCTAGACTGTGCCAGATCGTGTGCAAGATTGCTCCGAACGAAGATGAAGCGAAGGATCTGAAGGAGAAAATTGAGGATGAGTACCGCATAAACATGTGAGAGGGCATATGCTGCTTTTCATAGATTTAGATCAATAGCCCATTTATTTCAGGTGACTAGAACGAGGAAGTGAACCTTGGTTTTTGTGGCTTTGCAGGATCCTTGACAACCTTCCTTTGGTGGTCCCAATTAAGAGATTGGATCAAGAGGCACCTACTGTATACCAACAAGGTGTGCATATCGGCATCAAGGGACAGTACTCAGGGGTGGGTTGATAATCTGCTAGCTAGAATGTTGATGTGTTCAGCTTACGTCAAGTGTGTTCTGATTTGACTGTTATTGATGCAGAGCAAGGAGGAGAAGCATTTCATTCACAACCACTTCACATTTCTGGTGAAGTATCACAAGGATGCGAACACAGATCTTGCCAGGATTGTTGCCTTTGAGGTTAAACCATACAGGTGTAATATTCTATCCTTGTTTCTCAACTTATAGCACCGTGCTTGCCATCCTTTTCCATTTATATGATTGTTATAACAAAAAGTTATCATATCTTCTGGCTTCTGCAGTATTAAGCATGAACCTGATGGTGACTGGAGGGGGAATGCTACACCCCTTAAAACCTGTGATCCACACTCAAGACGCCTTGTCGTAGACTCTGATTCACCTCAAGAAGTAGATGGCAACAAAGAGATCATTTTCACCTATGATGTGAACTTTGAGGTAGTTTCAACTGTTTTTAATCTTGAACTTTTTGTCTATGATCAGCCTTAATGCATCATGACAGAAGTCTCCACTGTAAACCTTCAGATAGATGGTATAGTTTTTCCCCCCCCTTGAGATTTTCAAATCTTCTGACACTTTTTTGTTCATATGTGTGTCATGCAGGAAAGTCCTATCAAGTGGGCATCACGCTGGGACACCTACCTTCTGATGGCAGACGACCAAATCCATTGGTTTTCTATTGTCAATTCACTGATGATAGTCCTCTTCCTCTCTGGGATGGTTGCCATGATCATGCTCCGGACTCTTTACCGCGACATCAACAAGTACAACCAGTTAGAGGACCAGGAGGACGCCCAGGAGGAGACAGGATGGAAGCTTGTCCATGGAGATGTGTTCAGGCCTCCTGCCAATGCTGACCTGCTGTGCGTATATGTCGGTACAGGCGTACAGTTCTTTGGAATGCTGCTTGTCACCTTGCTGTTTGCCATCCTCGGGCTCCTTTCACCTTCGAACCGTGGAGGGCTCATGACAGCAATGCTCCTCCTCTGGGTCTTCATGGGGCTGTTTGCAGGGTACGCCTCCTCGCGCCTTTACAGGATGTTCAAGGGCTCAGAGTGGAAGAATGTCACCATCAAGACGGCGCTGATGTTCCCTGGCATCGTGTTTGCAATTTTCTTCATCCTGAATGCACTCATCTGGGGCGAAAAATCCTCAGGTGCCGTGCCATTCACCACCATGTTTGCTCTGGTGCTCCTCTGGTTCGGCATCTCCGTGCCATTGGTCTTTGTCGGCAGCTACCTTGGCTTCAAGAAGCCTGCCATGGAGGACCCAGTGAGGACAAACAAGATACCACGGTCAATACCCGAGCAGCCATGGTACATGAACCCGGTCGTCTCGGTGCTGATCGGAGGCATCCTGCCCTTTGGCGCAGTGTTCATCGAGCTCTTCTTCATCCTGACATCAATCTGGCTGCACCAGTTCTACTACATCTTTGGGTTTCTGTTCCTGGTCTTTGTCATCCTGATCCTAACCTGTGCGGAGATCACCATCGTGCTTTGCTACTTCCAGCTCTGCGGTGAGGACTACCAGTGGTGGTGGAGATCCTACCTGACGTCTGGCTCGTCAGCGCTGTACCTCTTCCTGTACGCCACGTTCTACTTCTTCACCAAACTGGAGATAACGAAGACGGTCTCCGGCGTGCTCTACTTTGGCTACATGCTCATCGCCTCCTACGCCTTCTTTGTGCTCACCGGCACCATCGGCTTCTATGCCTGCTTCTGGTTTACCAGGCTCATCTACTCTTCAGTCAAGATCGACTAGAAATCTAGACTACGGTTGATACACTGTTTTGTGGGTTTGCGAAAGCAATGAGCAAAAAGAGAAATAATAGGTAACGAACATCAGAAGTTGAGAATGTAGCATGCATTATACAAGGTGAAACTTTAAACGTAGGGTGCTTATTCAGGTGTTTTAGGGTATTTACAGTTTGATTCTGGAACACTAAATTAGTTTACTTCGAAGCCAGTAATTCAGTGTGTATCCTTACAGAGCAGGTTTGTGATGTTACAATCCAACAATTTAACATTTTTAACCATATCTTGTGTTGGTGACATTCTGAAGGATCCCAGCATCTTCTTTTCCGTTGTGTGACTACTGGTTACGCTGAAAGCGTCAGACAAGCTTCGATTTCTGTTGGTTTTAAATTGGAAACAGCAATCGTATGGAGATCGAAGTCTGGTTCTAACAATAAATGATAAATCATAATTCACAAGTGAGACTTCTTTATTCGGTAATAAAATTGGCATGTTCTACACGGATAGTAAGATAGTAGCACACGAGCAAAAAGCACTTGAGATTTTGCACATATGGGACACGTACACATCACCCGCCAAAGAGCCTAATAGCTTATTACTGGAACATCTCGGTAAGCTAGCTAATGGACGATCTCCACTGCCATCTCTAAGCCCGGCGGCTAGCCTCCTGATGGTCACGCCCGTTCTTCTTGCGCCCGTCCCCGAACATGAGGTAGCCGAGGCCACCAACGACGATGAGGCCGCCGACCGCCAGCGTCGTTGGGCTGTAGCGCCGTAGAGGGCTCGACGGATGCGCCGATGCCGACCCCGCGCGCTTGAGCGGGTCTTCTGCCCACGCGTTCATCTTCTCCGGCCACATGACGCACAGACGATGCTCCTTTCTGAATTCTGATGATGATGGCTACCTCCACTACACGGACTAGCTAGGAAGCTCTCTGTTTCCTGCTCCGTGCTGAAACGTGTTATGGGGTGCTAGAAGCAGCTTTATGGTGGTAGCAGGTTAAGCGGCAAGGGACACGCAGGGAGTAACACGTACAAGCGTGACATCGTAGCACTGCCACGTAGCCCATGCAACATCAAGTCACTGGTCTGGTCTGCCTCAGGAATGAACTAGTAGCAGCCTACTAGAATATATGTAGTGCATCATGAGTAAAATGCCAGATGGAAAGAGAAACCCTTTTCTTGTTTAGAGCCAGAAGGATCAGGAACATCGTTTTGGTGAAACCATCTTATCCTAACTGATGATGGCAAAGGCACAACAGTACAGCCACTTGGATGTGGTATTGGGAAGTATTATTTCTATACGGTATTATTTTCCCTTATACAGGACAGGGATCATGTCAAGAAAGTTACAATTTCACCCGAATTCTCGGTGGGCATGCCCTAAACCTCTAAAAGAATGGTAATTTACATCGGCAGAAATTCAGGGTTCTGATCAAGTACCTTACATGGTGAACTGATTCATCGGTCCTATGGCAGGAGGGCATATACACTCTACAAAGGCATCAGTCTCTTGTACTTGAAGAACCAAAGGAAGGAGCAGAAGATGAAAACGCCAACCACTGAAGTAATTACAAGGACCCACTGGAATGCATTCTCTATTTTGAAAACTGATGTCTCAAAGTTCATCCCAAATATCCCAGCTACCACTCCGAAAATGGCCACAACAAATGTTGCAGTCGTTAGCAGCAACTCAAACTGGATCAGCTGGTTCCGCACATTGTCCTAGGAACATATGACACTCAGTCAAATAAGTTACACAGACCAGCAGTGTGAGAAATGCATAAATCTGATATGCATATCCCAAATAAGGAGAGAATAAAATATGTTGACGTACCAGCTGAATGTTGATGAAGTCTTCGGTGTCATCAATATACTCTTTAAGCTGAAAGAAGGAAAAACAGATCAGATCCCTTGACTCCACATAACCAGATTTAAGATATGCTGGGGATATGGCTCGGTACCGATGTCAGCTTGTTCAGAGTGCTGTCGATAACAACGAAATAAGCTTCCAGTAACATCTCCAGCTCCTGGATATGCTCTGTCGTAGTGTTATCTGAGCCCTTTGTACTGTCATGCCTACTTCTACACAAACTGAAAGTTTTCTCCAGTTTTCGTGATTCTGTGGGTGATGAGACTGGAGATACAGGAGCTGAAACTGAAGTCCCAGCAGCGCCAGCTGAATTGTAGCCCAACAAAGACTGGTCACCAAAGACTGATGATTCCATCCTCATCTTTTTTTCGGTGAGATACATCTCGGCCATATCACCATCGTCATCCATTAGTTGTTCTATTTCATCTCTGACCTATTGGAAGACAAAATAACAATTAGAAAACCGGTCTACACAAATGGTCTGCAACAAGGGAAATCGAGATTAGGCTATATTTTACTTTTTGAACTCTTCTGGTCAATGCAACTAGTCTACTTTTTAATCGCCGGACACGTTCCAAATTGAGAGTACTGATTTTGGATGTCAGCTCATCCAATAATGGATATGCTTCAATTTCCAATTCCGCTGCCTGAAGAGAAACAGAAAAAAAAAACACACATTATTACATATGCACTGATTTTATTAATGTCAAAAGGCAATCAGCATCATTTGACACAAGGCATGCCTACACCTAACTTGCTTGGGACAAGAAACCTAGAAGGTTCTGTTGTTGATTTGATCATGCAAGAGGGGTGCTTCAATCAGTGAGACATAATATGCATAAGACCATATCAACAGTCAACACTCAACAGAGAATTTTTGTAGCTAAAACTCTAGCCAAAAAGCCATGAGTTCTCGGACAGCATGGACTAGAAAACTTGTGGTCAGTGTTGCTTTGTGTTTTAGAAGTTACTGTTGGGTGTTGGCAGAGTTATCTCTAGGCACATTTCTTGTATTTTTATCCAGCTTTTACAAACACAATGTTGCCAATAGTAAAACCAAACAAAGCTCTTGTCGCCTCTATGCTAACTTTCAGAATTTTAGCATCCATGGATGCAATCACTCAGTATTAACCTTTTTTATCAAATCAGAAGGACAGTTACTAAATATGGAAAACACTAAACCACACATAACTCATCCTGGTAACAGCTAAACACAGACGGTTACTGTCCCATTGATAAGTTGGGCTGGTAGAATCAGGTCATTTTGAAAAATCGCCACTTACAGAATTTCCCAGTTATAATACCAAATGATATGCTACCGATGCATTAATTAATACACTAAAAAATCATATGTTCAAGAGCTACATATTCCTGTGTCGAACAATTCAATTTGCCATCCTTTTGGTCACTTTTGAAAGCCTCTTCAACCTCAATTGGTAAACTCAAAACAATTCCTAAATTATTAGTAACTGAAGGAAAATAAGTATAAGAAAACTACTTGTTTACAATCGTTTGAAAAAGAATCTCAGATTACTTCATGTTCTGAACAGGAATTTGTCCCAGATTACTTCATGTTCTGAACAGGAATTTGTCCATTTATTGTGCTTAGGATCATTAAACAGATGAGTATTGATAAAGCCATCAAGGTTTGTTGGAGAAAGCATCGATTTCTTGGGTACCAAGGAAGAAGGCATTAAAGAAACTGCCCGAGGAAGGGAAAGAGTCTGCACATGAAAAGGCTGTTACAGTGAAAGGAAGAAACGATTTGTATTTCTTGTTTATATTATATATGCTAATATGTTACTTAACATGCACCAAATTTGAAAGATTCTCTTAAGCAGCAAACATCCAACTTTTAAACTTTGATGGGCTCATTCTAACTATACTACTACCTGAAATTGCAAAAGCAGGAGAATGGTGCAAGTGTATGCCATAATCTAAGTAGACACCTCAAGGGAAAAGGAGGCGGAGCTGCTAATCTTTGTACAGTTGGAAGAAATAACTGATGCAAAACAAATTCTCCCACTGACAACATGTGTTCAAATTGCCATCAGAAAGTTAGCTGCAACATTTTTACTTGATTGATGCTCAGAGCAACAATTGGGAAGTTGTGGTATCCCATTCATCCAGCAAGAACTAGAACCAGCAGTGGTTTCACAAATTTTGATTCTATCACGCGCAACATGATACTCGCAGTCACAGAATAACCTCAACCTCTCATTATGACTCTTGTAAAAAAACTGGGAAGCCAAAACACAAATACTGGACCATTAAGCCAGACAATTGCACAGTTGCAAACCATGTTAGAATATCATCATTGTCACGCCATAGCCCAATCATGGGAACTGAACCCACTCTGATTGGAATAATAACCAAACTAAAGCACAATATCAAATACAGTTCAGACGCAGACATGGAATTGAGGAGTTTTGATGATCACCTGTGCATCGAGGAAGGAGCATGCGGCCTCGAGGGCGAGCTCGAGCGCTCGGAATTCGAAGGGCAGCTCGTCGCCCTCAGCGCGCTGGAGGAGGCGGCGCTGGAGCTCGGCGGCGTACTGGAGGACGTAGCTGTCGAGGGAGTTGAGCAGGAGCACCTCGTCCGCGGTGATGACGCAGCGGATCTGCTCGAGGTTGACGACGATGGCGCGCTCGCGGCCCAGGACCGTGGACGGGTACACGAAGAGCGGGTCGAGCAGGCGGAGGTCCCGCGCCGGGAGCTCGCAGCGCCGCATCATGGTGGCCTTGTCGATCTCCAGCGTCTGCACGGAGGCCGTGGCGGCCTCGACGCGGATCCAGCTGCGCGTGCCGCCGCCGCGCTTCTTCAGGCTGGGGACGTCGAGCCCACCCGGGAAGCGGCGGCCCGCGGACCCCGGGGCCGCGGACGGGAGCGCGGGCGACGAGGCCGACGCGACGTGCGACGGGTACGCGCGGTGGAGGAGCGGCTGCTTGACGGAGTCCCCGGCGGCGGCCATGGCGCGCCGGCGGGTGATTATTGGCCGGCGGAGTGGGCGGTGGGGTCTTTTCGCGGATGGGCCCCTGCCGCTCGCGTGTCGCGTAGAGACTCGTAGCGTTCGGCTGGTCTGAAAGTTTGAGACCAGCCGGCTGGTTCGGCTCGTTCTTTCTCACGTGCTA